ACTCTAATTTGATGGATCAAAAACGACACTTCAAACAATTGGCATCGGCGCAGTAAATGGCCGGCATATTACTATGGCGTCTGAAGCCCTGTTCCCAAACGAACTCGTTATTCATTGATCCGCAAATGAAACATACCGACTCTGAATCGACAGGAATCAAAAAACAACGACGATACTAGTAACATTATTAAAAATTTTGTTCGAATGCATTTTTTTTTACTTTGTTGACTATGCATTAATTGTCGGAATGCTATAATCAGAATTTTGAATAATGATTATACAACTAATCTTTGTTCCTGGTTTCAGCATGACAATGTCGCACAGCCAATTAATTATGTCCAATCAAAAATTTGTAACATACGGTACATCAAACAATTCTTTATTCAATAAGCTAGACTCTCGAATAATCAATTTGTAATTTTATTATATTTACTGTATAAACTATTTTAACTCAAATTCACAATCAAAAACTGATCTAACCTTAACAAAAAAAAAATATATAATTTTCCGAAATCATCATATGACACTACGTTCAAAAAGATCTCTTTGTATGATCAAACAAGTAATTGAATATATTTTAAAATCATAAAATATTGTGTTAGAGTTGGAATCATGATGGTAACAAGGTTTACAACAAAATTTTTGTATACACCAAAAATTTTTACAACGAATTTTCTTTGCCACAACGCAGAAATAGTTTTATAGACAAAATTTTGAGTTATTGGCACTTTTTCAAAAAAGTGTGATTGTTGCAAAAAGTGTGATTGTCACTTTATACCCAATCTAAAAATTTTATTAGTGTTGATATCTAGTTTACATACTTTAACGGTTTGACTGAAGCACTTGGATAATTATACGTACGTACCAGATTTGTGGCGCAGGCAAATTTCTTAAAATTCGTTAAGTTTAGGATCAGGGTCAGGGTTAGAAATTATAGAGAAGTAGTTTGATAGTAAAATTGCCTAGCATAAACTTTTTGCTAGAACACTAAAGGTGGTTTCATATGCTGTTTTTGAGTAATGAGATATTTTTGGCAGAACGATCGTTTGTTTTGAATCTTCATAATCGTGTTACGTTACACCTAATCTTGAGTTCAGGAGATCTACGTCACAAAACTGGTACACATAATCCGTGTGTTTGACTGACACCGCAGGTGTTTTGAAAATCATGATCGGTAAAAATCGTTTTTAAAAAGTTCGTACGTACGTACGGTGCGGAAAATCTAAAATCCTTAAACCACTTAATAGGGATAAACATGCTGTGGGTAAGATAAATTCCGTATCGACTTAGTTTAAGTTTCAGAGATAAGTACGTACGTACGTATAAAATTGTTATTACGAATTAAGTATATACATATTATTTCTTGGCATTTTCCGAGCAAGAATTCGATTTATTGATATTAATAATTTAAGAAATTTATTTTCAATGTAACTTACGTAGTTGATGCATTATTTCTATATAAAGAAATTGAGGTTTTTAAATTTCTTGCATTGTCCGTATGTATTAGCATGTATGTTATGTATCTGGTATGTACAGTATGATGGTACGTACGTATGTATATATTCACAATTTATTTCAATTTAGCAATTGTGTTCATTTTAAATATTAAATAAGTTAATGTACTACAAATTTATATGCTAAGTACAAATATAGATAACAAATCTTACTACGATGCATACATACATAAATACCTACGCGCATCAGTACGTACATTTAACTCTTTTAATTTTCATTATGTTTCAATTTATTTCATAAAACGTCAAGTTCATTACAGATAAAGTTCTGGAAAATCTTTTGAATCAAATATTACATGAATATTCATAATATGATATAAAAAAAGTTAGTATATGCTTATATACTTATAATAATTTATTAATTATGTTACATTTGGTTTTACATTTAATACGTACGTACGTACGTATGTATGTTCGGGAGAAATCTTAATAATCATCAATAAAACTTCCAAACAAAAAAATGCCAAATCTGGAGAAGTAGATAATGTAAAAAAAAAAAAAAATTATAAATACTTGTAATGTTGAATTTGGTTCACTCACCTTTCTCTTTTCTATTGTCATCCTTTTTTTCCCTTCTTAGAAATCTTTAATCCGATAACCGACTTTTCTTTTTGATAAAGAAAATGGGTTTTTTAAAATATTTTAGTTTTATTTCCGTATTAACTTATTTGTTCATCATGGTTGCCTCGGCTGAGCCGAAGCAACAATGTGAATATAATGCTGCATCTTCAAAAAGAAGTTCAAATGAAATAAAAGAAGTGTATAACGTTGTTCTTTTAAGTCAATCGGTTAAAGATAATCAACTGGATTGGTTAAAAAATTGTTACAATAGAACTGCTGGAAGTTCAACAAAAAGCATTTATGATATTAAAAATAAAAATTTCGTAAAGGATGTGTCTGTTAATGGTTTTAGCGCTTACTCTGCCTGGTTTACTGCGGATTTTGCTAACAATGTAGTAAAGAAGAAAGATGGTGTCACTGTCGTAGAAAAAGATGGTACTATGAAAGTTAATTACGTGGTTCCACGTAAAGTTGAAAACAACGCACTCCCAGGTTTGGATCGTATAGATCAAAGCGGTGTCGCTTTGGATGGAACATATACCTTTCCTGATACGCAAGGTGAAGGCGTAGATGTTTTTGTAGTGGACACGTAAGTAGTTCAAAATAATAACTTCTATGTAGTGTTCATTAAATTTTAAAAAAATTTATTTAATGATTTCTGAAATATAGTGGCATTCGTAAGACTCACGATGAATTTGAAGGACGTGCTAAATCTGGTGCCGTTTTTTGCAAGGGTTGTGACAGTGATGATGATGGAAATGGGCATGGAACACATGTTGCTGGAACTGTGGCCGGTAAAACTGTTGGTGTCTCAAAGAAATCTACGGTTTTTGCTGTAAGAGTTCTTGGAGATGATGGTTCTGGTAATAATGCAGATGTTATATCTGGACTGACGTTCGTTCTAAGCCAGCATGCTAAATCAAAAACTAAAAATACCGTAGTCAAGTATGTATTAATTATGATATAAATGATTTGAAGAATTTAATTTTTAATCAAAAAAAATTTTTTGTTTTTTTAGCATGTCTCTTGGGGGCGCGAAATCAGCTGCTGTTAATGCTGCAGTAAAATCGCTCACAGATGCAGGAGTTCATGTAGCTGTGGCAGCAGGAAACGACGGCGAAGATGCGTGCAACTCATCACCATCATCCGAACTATCAGCAATAACTGTCGGTGCTATGGACGTTAATAATATTACTGCCGGAAGGAATAATCTCGCATTTTTCTCCAACGTTGGAAAATGTGTTGATATATTTGCTCCAGGTTTTAATATTGAGTCATTGGGTATTAAATCTGACACAGATACTGCTGTACTTTCGGGAACCTCTCAAGCAATACCACATGTTGCTGGTACAATAGCTCTTATTATTGCTAAAAACGGTAATCAAAGTCCAGCAAAGATGGCCACTACATTGAAAGATTTGTCATCTAAAAATGCATTGAATATTGATGCTAATGCTAAAGGTTCTCCAAATAATTTGTTGCGCGTACCTACGGCATAAAAGTTAAAATGTAATTAGAAATATATATAAAAAAAATTTACTGTAATATACTCAACCATCTCTTGTGTCTCTTGTTATGAAATTACTAGATTTGTAAAAATTATTAAGGACATCCAAAAATAAAATTTTTTTTTTACAGTATATATGAAGCGAATATATTATTAAAATTTGTCACTACAACTACAGTTGTTACTTTTATAGCAACAGCTGACGTACTGCCTATCTCAGTTCACCGACACTCATTTCGTAAATTCGCCAACATGTTTATTTCACCAACAGTTTATTTCACCAACAGTTTATTTCACCAACCGTCCTAGTATCGACCTAAAAATCAGTTACGTATCGGCATTTAAAAGTTCAAGTCATAATTTATCATATGACATGCGTAACATAAGATAAAAATAACTAAATTAAGTATTTGTTTATTTACATAACTGATCTTTTGGGTGATACTGGTTCACCGACAAAATAATTCTAGTTAGTCAGGTTAGAATTGGAGTTAATGTAATTTATAAAAAAAACTTGTCTGTGAAATAAGCTTCGGTGAAATAAAACATGTTGGTTAATTGTTTTCGATGAAGTGTTATGTCTACGAAATGAGTGTCGGTGAAATGATAACGTTATATAAGGTAGCTATTGCAATTTTTTAGTGCCTCAGAATTTATGAAATCAGTGTAAATAGTGCGAATCATCTATAGATTAAGGACTGGAATCGTTTAAATAAGGATGCTAAACTGTTT